GTTTAACAAAATCTGCCTACAAAAATATATATATATATATAAACAAAAGCAACTACTATTGAGTGCTGGCCTTACAGTTGAAGTACAAGGAAGTACAAACCACCACTGTGAGATACCAGTTATCCTGTGAGAAAAACTACATCAGTCATTAGTATTGGTGTGGACAATGAACTCAAAATAATGTTAATTCAACCGAGGTGGGTCTTCCTATAGGTCAAAGGCCATGTCACTGCATTTATAGAATTATATTGAACTACTATTTTATGAATGTATGTCAATAAGTTTGGTATCAAACTGTAGATCGTAATTCGATTTTAGTATTATACATTAGTTAATTTCTTCACAAAATTCAGCCATTGCAAAACACACCATGTTAAATGGACACATAATAAACTGGGAAAAAACTAGAATCATCGACACAGACAAATTTTGGAAGATAAAAAAAAATAAAGAATCATTTTATATTAACACAATTAAACCTTCACTAAACAGAGATTCTGGAGTAGAGGTAAGTAACCTGTGGCTACCATTGGTTGAATCTATAGGAAATCTCTCCTCCAATCAGAAACAGGGATAAACAAATCGATCATAACACGATCTCCACAATCCACCAGAATACTATAAAGACCAACAACACCATAAACACACTGACCTGAAGATAAAAGACTCTCAAAACATCATCTTCTACACTTGTGTCTCTACAACAGGCAGTTGCCATCCAAAGTTTCATCAGTTAATTTCTTAATTTAAAAGTAAATATTAAAAAAAAGTCTAAATATCTCATTTTGTGTGTCACAAGGTATGTTGAATGCAGCATTGGTTCAGATTATATGTTTGTGATGTTCAAATACAAAGTCTATAGTTTCTTACAAATTAGAAACTCAAGTTATCGATATTAACAACTAGAATATAAAATAAGAGCCTCCTATCTTTTCTATTTGCTGAGATATTGCTACATTTATTGAATCAAACACAGTGGCCTCTCGCCCACCTCTTTCCATTTTTGGAAATACTTGCATATGTACATCTATTTCTGTCTATGACATGTGAATTTGTATTTGTATTTCTTTGTAGTTAAGCGCAAAGCTACACAAAGGGCTATCTGTGGTCTGCCTACCACGGGTATCGAAACCTGGTTTCTAGCATTGTAAATCCGCAGACATACCGCTGTGCCACTGGGGGGCAATGTGTGAATAACTAATCGAAAGATATGAATATCCCCCATGTGGTTTTCTAAGCCTTTGCTAAGTATCTATATGGGAAACCCTTTCTTTCAATAGTCAAAAAGGTAAGGTACGACATTACTGAGCTCGAAAAATCATATTTTTTAGACCCAAATACAGCTTAGTTACTAAGCCTGATAAATTATAGTGAAATTTTGTGGTATTGATACAGTAATTTATTATTTTAAAAATGTATATATAAAACCTAAAAAAATTATTTTATTTTACATTCTCCACATGCGAAATTTGATAACTAGTTTGTAACTAGAAGAAATAAATGTTTTCTATACTTCTTTATTTACTGTTCTACGCTTTAAGAAAATAACTGAAATTTAAGAAGTTATTTGTAAATAGTAATAATATATATACATATATAATGTATTATAACCAAAATGTGACTATATTTTATAAAATACTAGTCTACTAGAACACAGCCAAGACAGGTCACTTTGTAAAGGCCAGTTTTATATTCTTGGATACGGTAACATGAGTGCACATGTGCCACAGCATTCAACTTCTGTAATATTAGTCAGACACTACTGAAAGATCAATAAAATAAAAATAATAAATTTTTTATACATGTATAATGTTATAAGATTTAAGATATTTAGGCTAAACATTTGTGGTTTCGTGTTATAACTTGTAGTAATTCCAGAACAACAAAAGTGTAATTTATATCTATTTCCTATTTTTTTTATGGTGGTTACGAGGTCAGTTGAATTGACAAAACCCATACAGAGATACATAAAACAGTGAAAATATGTTTGATAATTATCTGGAGGTTATAGAGAATTCATGTGTGAAATTTGACAATTTTGTAATGCATAAAAGTATTTTTAATATTAAAAATCAAAATTACTTTACATGTTGGATAGTCAACATTCAAAAATAAAAAATGAACAAGCAAATAATTAATTAAAAAATGTTAGTATTTAATTTCAAAATCTGATATTTTTTGTACGATTGCTTTGTAATGTTTACTGACAATCTGCATAATTTTGTGAAGATATGCTTACTGTACTAAAAGTTATAGAATAAAAACTATAACAAGCACAAAATGTTACAAGATCTGTCCCTGGGACTGAGCCCGTAGTGAAAGAGTTAAGGCTAAAGTAACAATAACAGTCACCAGTACCAGACATTCTTCTGACTAACCTTTTAAACTTGAGATTCAAAAAAAAATATATATAGCCATTTTAACCATAAGAGAAAAATAAGAAATAAAAAATACTTATTCATTTTAAAAGTTACGGTATACTGCTTTACATATGGGCTGGGTGGAATCCACCCACCTGTAGTAGAAAGATTAAGCAGTATAAAAAAACGAGATGAGAAAGTTGTTAAAAGGCTAAAGTGCAACAAAGATTGGGAGAACAAGTACAGTTGGCTGTAGTATTGCAGCTTTGATGCACCATTTTGTGCTTATTGTTTACTTGAAGTCCTGTATTTGTAGAAGTGAGCTGCTATGACTGGAAAAATTGAATTAGTGATTAAAGGGGCATCATCTCAGCACATGTGAAAAGTTTTACAATGATGCTAAAAGTGATGCAACCAATTTCATCTGTAGTCTCAAATCTCCAAAAGGACATTAACCTATTTCGTGTCAGGCTTTTGTGGAAATGAGCTCAGAATATTCAGGTTTTTAAAATTTTTCTTTTTGACAGTGTATACTTATATATAAATGAACATATTTGCAGTTATAGATGATAAATATTATTTCAAGGAAACTACAGTAAAAAAAATAGTAATGCTTTTCTCCAGTGTTCATGATACATAATTTAGTATAAATCCAATAGAGATCAGCTAAAACACCATTTCCAATTCCATCTAGTGATCACTAATTATAACACACAAACAGAGTACCTGGCATTGCTCGGAAGAATGGCTTTAAATATCCTGAGTTGTTTTGATTAAATCAATCATATTATTCGTGATTTTTTGCAAAAAAAAAAAATCAAAATGATTTCTTTACCTAACTAAATATTTTGATTAAAATCAATAAAAAAAAACAATGTGTGAAAAAAAAAAATTTGCTAAAGCTATTTTAATCAAAGCAAAACCGGGTACATTGCTCCTGCTTTTTAGATGTACTTTGCATGACATTTCAAGTTTCCAAAACAAAATTCCCTACCTTTTAGTGTCCTGATTTGTGTTGTGTGGTCAAGTGTGATTTGCAGCATATTCTATTTTTATTATTGTTCCATTTAATGAAGACCTGATTTATTCTTTTCTTGTTGCAACACAATTTGGGGCAAACTATTTCTTGATATGTTTTTAATTATTTGCAAATTATCATCTACATATATAAGCACAAATGTATGTCTTTCTCTTTGTGGGTCTGTTCCTCATGCACAACCACATCTTTAAAACTCCAAACTTGGCGTACAGATACAACTTTGTATAGGAAGTAACATGGGCTATGTGGCCACAGCTTCAGAAGCTGTTTTTAGGCCAAAGTGACCTATATAGTAATTTTTGTTAAACAGGATGACCAATTGGTCTCAAATTAAAAAGGCTGGATTTTTTTTGATAATGTAGATCAATAGGGCTATTATTTATGTTTCTTCTCTGTGTAAGGACTTCTAATCATTCTATTCATAATCAATTTGTATTGAAATTATTTCAAAACTTTGTGGAGCCTTCATTTGTTCTCTTTCTCTCCCTCTCACTTTCTTCTACACATACATGCCTACTCTCTAACTCATCTTAATTGAAAAAGGCTGGTGCTTTCTTTCAAACATATGCACACACTCCCTCAACTAAATAGGCTTCCTTCAGCCATATCTTTTGCTTTGCTTGTGTGTATTCACAAGAATCAGCTATACAATGACTTTACAAAAACGTTTGGTATCAGCAAATTTTCATTTACTTAACTAGAGCAACTAGATTTTGAAATATGGAGGATGGCCAAATTATCTCAGGCAAATCATGAAAAAAGTTAACTCTTAACAGAAGGTGAAGATGAGCAAAGAAATAAAGGTTTCAATCACCAAATTCGTTTTACTAAGACATAGAAATATATCTTTTAGAGAAACTGGGTTAAAGATGGAAAGGACTGCAACTTTATTTATTTTGTTAAATGGGGGAGCAGAAATGGATGTTGCCCTGAGAAAAAAACTTAAGAGTGTACTGCACAATTACATACACATTCTTTACATCTACAAATTCAAAATGAGCTCACTGCTTGCTGTGAAAATGAAGATAGAGAACATCTTCTAAAGTAAACGATGCAGATTTTTTTCTCTGTATTAGCTGATGAAAGCATGGTTGTAAGAGGAGTTAAGCAGTTGAGTCTTTGTATCCTCTATATTATCTTTAAATGTGGCCAAGTAGAAGTTTGTGAGGATTTCTTAGGTTTTGAAAAACTTGATGCCACAAGTATCTTACATGCAATAATAACCAAACTGCAGGTGTGGGAACTGAACCTTTTAAAGTCAGTGGTAAGCAGCTGTGTTGGTGAGATTTGAAAGAAAATCAGGGAAGCTTGACCTAAAGCAACATATATCCATTGCAAAAGCAATATTCTAAAACTTGTCCCTGTGCATATCTGTAGTGATATCCCTCTTGTGAGAAACATTGTTTTAACTGTTGATAAAACTAGTACTTTTATCATCATCAGTAATTCTAAGGCAGAAAGTGGCAAAGAACAAAAAGATGTTCTTGCTTGTAATGAAAGCCTCATCTGTGATCCTGGAACAAGGTAGAAACTGTCAGTCAATTCCCAATGAAACAGAGACAAAATCAACATATAAGTTAAAGAGTATGAGTACTTTTCTTGCTCAATTCACTGTGGTGTATAAAACACTAACTGATACGGAGATTGAAGACGTTGGTGATAATTCAGCCCTGACAAGAACACTCAAGAGTTTCAATAAAGTCTTTTGACACAATAATTGCAGCAGTTATGGCTCAAAATGTACTTCCTTTCACCCACCCATTGTTTATGGCTCTCCAGAGAGGATCCAATGATATCCATGAAGAATATTCCGATGCACACCTTACAAGAGAAGCACTCTGCAGAAAAATTGGCAAGCAAGTTTCAGAGCTGTTTCTCTAGCTGCATTGATCAAAGTTACAGCCTGAAATGAAATGTCAATAAACAGGCTTACCCTCAAAATATACTTTCCTCATCAGTTGGAGAATACTATTACCTAAATGCTTATCATCCATTTATTGATAATGTTTTAGCTCAGATGGAATGTCAATTCTCTCCAAAGAGCAGCTTTCATGGAATCTATTTAGTTTCCACCAATTTGTACAAGTTGAATACCACTGCTAAGAATGTGTTGTTATCATGGTACAAGGGTAATATTGCTTTTCTATGTAATGGCTTTGAATCTGAAATAGAAAGGTGGAAAGAGAAAGGAAATTATCCATGAAACCAACCCAGATATACTTCCCAAGTACCATCACTGTCTTAACACTGAAGCTGACCATCATGTTTATGTCAGTGTAGTTTCTGTGCACTGAGAAGACTGAACACTTGGCAGGGATCTTCAGTGGATGAAAACCATGTGACTAGTTTGGCTTTGCTCAATGTCCATCAGCATTTGGAAATGAATTTAATGAACATACTTTGTGGGTGGGCTTTTTCAGAAGACCAAAGAATCTACCTCGCATATGGAAAGAAGGCTTTATGATATTAATGTGAGAAATACTTTTATCTATACAAGAAACAGGTATGCAATGTGTAAAGCTAATGCTACATGCTTGTCATGTTTGGACCTCAGGTAAATTATCTCTAGCTACAGCCCTAATTGATATATATATATATAAACACATGTATTCCATACTCAATCCAAAACATTAAATATATACATCTGTATAAAATCTACAAAGACTTGTACATAATTTTGAAGAAACATAAGGCAGATTTATGATAAAAAGTACACAAACTTTCAAACTTACTGCTGATAACTAGAGTAACAGATTGCCTTATTAGCTGGTAAAGTCCACGGTGTTGTTGTCCATATAAGGGCATAAACCGGTGTATGAATATCTAGCTCAAGAATGAGACAATTTCTAAATTTGCCATCTATAAAACATTTAAATAATTCACTAGTAATAATAACATCACCAAACTGCTAATTAACCCAAACTTTCTCAAACTTTGTGAATGTATTCTCTCTCTTTGAACACTAAAAGTATGATAACTGCAACCTAACAAGTCTCTATTTACAAGTACTTTCTACATTGTATTAATAACAATTATGTTTTATACAACATCAGCAGTGTTACAAATGACCTTGCAAACAGACTACTATGGCTTATCTTACAAACACAAATTAACTTCATAATTCAAAATTGTCTTAATATCAGATTGAAACTACCACATAATAAGTGTGATATTATTGCTATCTGTAAGTCACCACATTCATAAATAGAAGCTAGTATTCTAAGCTAGAATCACATTAGCATGTAGCTAATGTATAAACTCTCATGTAGAAGAACTTCATCACGTAACTAGTGTATCATCTCTCATTTAGAACAAAATCTTCCAATCAAAGTGTCACACAAATTTTGTGATATGATGTAAAGAGTTAGGAAATGCACCATAAAAATATTAATCTACCATCATGTTACTAAACAGTTCTTTTTATATTCGTACAATATGTGTAGTATATTTCTATCAAGGGGGAAAAAAAAAAAGATGCACATTCATATGTGTCCAAATGAATAAATTACAACAAATCCATCATACATTAATCTGAAGTTACACAAGTCTAATAAGAATATACCCATAAATAGATTATTTAGAACCATCATCAACTCTTATTATTTCTGACAATTATAGCACTCACCCACCCAGAACTTGATTGATTCAGGGATCGTTATCAGCTCAAATTTCACGTATACAGAAGGACTAGAGAATAAAAGTAATATTAATAAAAACATTCTCTCCTGCTGCTGAGTTTAAGAACATGTAAGGTTTGATACATTTATTTCATATTACTAAATTAAAGCAAGAAACTTTTCAATTTTTGTTTTCAAAATAAACACTGAATGTTTATCATTAAATGTGATAATTATATTTTTCATATTCAGAACATTTTATTTACTGAAAAAAAATATAAAAAACAATATACACAAAGGATTTCTAATCACGAAAACAAACATTTTCAGGCAGAATTAATTAAATCATCTCTATCTTTTCCACAAAGTTCACTTAACATACCCTATGCACTGTAGTATGCCTTTTGGTATAAATCCTTAGAGTTAAAAGATCAAATAGTATTTTTATCTTACCTCACATGTTCTTGATTGTACTCAAGCTCAGCTTCTGCTAAAGCTGTGCTGCAAGTTTAGGTTCATAAAAACAAGGGTTAATTGTACTGATTTAAGAAAATGAAATTCAATACAATTACCTACACATCTTAAAAGTCTTACCTAATTTTGAAATTATCAAATTATATTTTTCAGAAAAAATAGAACTTTGCAACATGTTTTATAGAGATCATTAAAATTTTTATGCATGTCACACTTTTTTTAACTAAAGTAATAACATGTGATATAATCCCCATTGACATAAAATGTTTTATTCTTAAAATAAAAAGAAATTTTTCACAAAAGCAAATGTCCCTGTAACGAATTCTAAATATTTTTTTTTCAACTTTCAGTTCATAACATCTTACTTAGAAAGAAAAAATGTTTAAAATAAAGAAAATTATATGCTAAATAAATTACTATTTTCTTTTATAACTTTTTTATACTCTGTTAATTCTTTTTATTTGAATACTGCTTTTATTTTTAGTGAATATTAAATAATAAAGCATTATGGATGATTAATTTTTTGACTACTTTAAGCATTATAAATGGTTCATTTGTTACTACTTTAACCATTTTAAAGTTATTCTTTAATTTATAGAAGATCTATTTTCAAAATAAGGGTTTCTTTAAACGCTAGTATTAACTGATACTACCATACACACTTACCGATTACTAGGAGACCAGAAGACAGGTTTGTAGTCTTGAAACACAAGTCCCTTTTATTGGTAAATAAACAACATGATACTTTCAGAATACTTCAGAAAAAAATTAAAATATATTTATGTTTTAAATATGAATGTGTGAGTGCATGTGGTGGAAATGAACTCAAATACTTAAGAATAAATAAAATTTAAGAGAGAAAAGTAAAAAACAAAGAGAGAAAAAAGAAAAATTAAACAGCTACACAGTGTATACTTACACTATCAGCTATTCTATTCTTTATTCTCTACCCAGTATCTCTAACATGTAGAGATCAACTTCCAGATTTTCATCTAAATTATGGTTTGGTTTGTTTAGTTTCAAGTCATGTATAACATGAATTATTTTTCATATTTTATCAGTGATTTTACATGATTACATTCATTATAATAATAATCTTTATACTAGTGGTTAAATGTATTTATCTATTTAAATATATAGTATCTGACAAACAAAACAAATCAATACAATTGATAGTTTATAAACAAAAATTATCTTCAAAACTAAATCCTTTTATAGAATTACACAATAAGTGTGTCATGGGTGCTAAATTAAGGTGTAGGTGAAATGCATTAATAAACATGATATTATAACAGACTGTACCAGTAAAGTATGAGATAAATTTACCTGATGTGAGAGCCCACTACTGACTTTTTATATTAATAAATCTTCATTGTGACTTTGTGATATTAAACAATAACCATAATCTATGACATACTTTCATTCTTAAAAAATAAATTCAAGTAAAAATACAACAAAAATGGATATAAGCCCCAATTTAACCCACTCATTTCCATTGACAATCATCATGAATCTGTTTCCTATTCTGTAGGGATCAAAGTTTAAGCTATGGATTGTGTTCTAATGACATACATGATTCCATTGCCATATAGACTATATTCTGCTGACCATCAAAGCAAGCTCTCATAATGACAGAGATGGAACTATTCCTGATTTACATGAACAATATATTCACAGGATTGGGATAAAAATACATCTTATAGAAGAGATGAAAAACATATTGGTTATCACCACCAGCACCTGCTTCTGATTTTACTTTTTTGTACTTATCCAGAGATGTTTAGAATATTTTTTTAACTTTAAAAAGATTTTAACGTATAATGATTGTATAATTTTCTCAGTATAATCTGAAATTAAGGTGCCTTCAGGTATTATTTGATCAACATGCTTACACATATGCTGCTTTTGTTAATGTCCAAATGGTACCCATAGATCCTATTGTACCTCTAATTTTACCAGCTGCACTTGTCTATGTACATAATGCCTAATTTTCAATAATTTATTGGTACTAGCAGAGAAGTTAGCAGTAAACCGGTCGTATGATATCAACATTTATTTTTTCAGATACCCTGAGGAGGTGATGAACAAAACAAATTAACAGTCACTATCTATAAACTACATACATTAAGAGCTCACAAGGTCTTACAAAACAAAATTATCAAAATGAGTAAAAAGCTTGCAGATACAGAACTTTTGTAGTGATTTCATATATAACATTTGCTTCTTAAAGACTCTTATTAAACACCCGGGTTGTGTAGACTTGATGCATCTGTTCTATTATTTTTTTTTTTATTGATTTGCAAAAAAAACTACAGATGAAATAGTTTGAAAATTGACATGAACTTTCTACAAAATGTGTAGCTTCTGAAAACTGAAATATTTGTGTACATTTTCAGCTCTGAAAATTTGAAAAGATGTTATTGTAGTATGTTTTTTAATAAACAATTAAAAATGCTCACCTTTTTTGTAGACTTCAGTTATTTATTTTTATGTCTTGTAAAACTTTCCAATAAATATTTTTATTTTATAAAACTGTAATTTTATCTTTGTTTTGAACTGAAGAACCCTGCAGACAGTTTCACTGTGCTTATGATCACTAGCATACAATAAAAATAACCTAAAATCATAAGCAAGCCAACTTTTATTTTATTTGTTAATCAGAAGGTTCTGTTTAATGTATGTAATAAGTTTTAAGCCCATTTTATATTCATTTATACACATTTGTTTACTTTTCTTTTCAGTGATTTTCTTTACTCATTCAAGCAGTAACTTAGCTGATAAATCCTACTGTAAACATAAACCTAACAAATAACAGCCTTGTCATTGAAATGAAACTTTATATGGTCAAGTGCAAAATTATATAACTAAGCCTACCTAACCCTGTTACACGAAAAATGTTTCCTATCATACTGGAACATTATAATTAAATGAAATATAAAATGGTAAAACTTTTCAAAAAGACAAGAAACAGGAGTATAACTGTGGCATAAAGTGTTCACAAACACGTTTTTTTCTAGCAAAAATTTATCAAGCTAAGCTATTATCATGTTGTTAGAATCTTTATGCAAATCTCCACTGAACTAGAAGCCATACTAGATTATACAGTTGAAAAGAACAAAAAGAGCTTTCATTACATGTTTAGATCACTAGCCTATAATTTTTCAAAGCTGAGATTTAAATAATTACATAACACCATGAAAACCAAGGTTAAGAAACAGTAATTGGCTAAAACAGATAAAAGCATACTTATATTGAAGTCACAGGGTTTAAATTGGTACTATTTTGACTTTCTTTCAAGGGGTTATGAGTGCTATAAATTCAGGAAATTCACAAATACAAATGTTTTTGTTCCAAGTGAGCTAAAATCAGCCTAAAATCAATAACTGTAATTTTTATGTCTAAAATTAAATAAATTTCAACTCTGAAGTATTTGAAAACAACAACTGGATGGAAAAAAATTAAGTTTATTTTCAATAAAGTTTTTAATTCTATGTTGCACTTTTGCCCTTGGAAATGAGTGAACTTTGCTGGATGCCAAAATTAAATTAATTGGCTTAAGTCATCTCAACAAAGCTAAGCATAAAGAGGCCCATCTTCTACTTAAAACACCGTATCCCAGACTTTACTGATATTGATGTAATTGTTGTGAGAACTACAGTAGAATGTTAGCTTAGAAGAAAGTGATAATAGTAAAGAAAAATATATAATTAAAAAAAATTGAAAACTCCTACTCCTGTATAAATAATCATCCATCAAATAATCTTAAATATATATATATATATATAAATTTTGTATATATATACAAAACTAAAAAATATTCACCAACTGCAAATGGGCAAAACTTTCAACACCATAAACCACAGATGAGAAATTAAATTAAATTCATACAGTACACAGATAAAAGAAGTTACAGTACACTATAATAGGTATAGTTTCAGAAAAAATTAAAATGTATTTCTGTTTTAAAGATTTGTGTGTGCTGCAATAAGTATAATTTTCTTATATGTTTGTAGTGTACTTCACAAGTTATATATACGTATCTGTACACTGTTATTTGCCTAAGTACTTCACTTGCAGAAAGGAAACTTTTGATCAAAAAACAGGCTTAAACCTGGAATCCAAAATAGTTTTTCATTATTTATAGCTCTTCAAGGATATTTCTTTGTTAAGAGCCTGATGATGTTACCTACCACTAAGAAAGAGAGAGAGTACTCAGAAATTCATACATGACAATATTACATTCAGTATATGCACTAATAGTGGACATACCTTTTCATAAAGACTATAAAAGAACTGTAACTGGTTTGCTACATATGTTGGACTGTATGTCGTATAAAAATTATTCCAATCTGCCAGCAATCCCCACCGTTTAAATGAATGTCTCTGAGTTTCTAGTGCATGTCTTGCATATTCACGAGCTGTTAAATAAAAATAATTTTCTTGATGAGCCAAAATAACAAATACATAAGTACATTTCACTGTTAAATTTAAGACAAAAATAATTTCAATACAATTAATTTATAAAGTACCGATAAAGAAAATCAAAATGTATTACTGTCTTTGCTTCATTAGTATTACTAACTTCATTTTTCTTGAGTGAAAAACTTAAATGTACTACAATGATATGTATATTAAGTGTGGAATAGTAATAGTTTATGTACAGTATAGTATGCATATAAAATGATGACAACATTGTATGTTATAAAAGCAAATATCTTATACAAGTACTTACAACCTTGAAGTAATCTAATATGTATAAAATAGCAGATTTTGCTCTAAAGTTGTGTTTAGAACTTCTCAGCATATATTACTACTTTTATTTCAAATAGTAAAAATCATAAACTCTTCTTTGAGATACTAAAAGTAAAAAAAGACAGGCTAATATGATAACCTGGAGAATTGACATTACTCTGTTGATTTGAACATTGTGAAGACAATTACATTTATAGTACAAAACATACAACAGGCTTTGGTCACACTGTGACAGAAAATTCTGAGCTGTACATAAAAAAAAACACAAAAAAAAACAACAACAACAAGAATGATACCTGGTTTTCAAAACTTGAGATATGAGTTGAGGCTCCAGTGTTTGTACTGTTTTAGTTGGAAAGCAGAGGAGCTAGAAGTGATGTGATTTAAATTTTAGAATTGTAAAGGGCTTTTATAGGCTACCTGCTGGAAGACTAATTTTTATACTAAAGGGTGGTGGTATGCAACTTGAATATTATGAATTGTGGAATATTTCACTTGTTGATATTTATGATTTCTTAATTGTATTAAATGGATATATAAATCAAAAGTTATTTGAGGTGGGTTGGTGCTTGTTTTTTTATTGTTTTTTGCATGGTAAAATTTGTTTAAAACAAGATAGTTGAATAGGAACATTGGCTGACAGGATATTTCATTTACATTACAATTTAGAATGCTGACTGCCTCAGTTTAAGTTTCTGTTACTGATCTTCATATTTACACTTTTTTATTCTGCAAACAAATATCAGATAATTTTAAGAAAATCAGACGTTAGTTACAATTGTAATATTAAAAATGTAGATATCTGTTTACAGTTCACAAAAATATAAAATAAAAAAGACTTTAGAGCTTTATTTGAAAAAATGTATTAAGCTTTTAATAACTATCTATGAAACTTTGAAGTACATGATCAGATGGGAAAAACTCCCATAATTAATAGTATATTTCACAAACATTAAGATATTTTTGTACAGTTGGAATAAAAAGTCACTTTTGTAATTATTTTTTCAAAATAGATTAATATTTCAGCTACTATATCTCTATGATAAAATGATAACTTTGAATTTAAAAAAAAAATTTAAGGAATAAAATAGCTACCTGTCTTCCTAATATCTAAAGATGAATGTTTTTGAGACGTGTTGTGAGTAGACTTTAAAGCTTTTAATTCTATAGGCAGACCATGACAATCCCAACCAGGTGCATAGTGAACTCGGAATCCCTTCAAGACTTTGTATCTCACCGTTATATCCTTCAAAACCTAAGGAAAAAAAATTATTATAGCAAAAGCTCATGAGATTTTATTTCCCCTTAAAAAATATCGAATTAATAATATGAGAGTAATAATTTTCTCCTAAATTTGTATAAAAGAACTGTGTAAAATCACTATAAAAATAATTGCATTATCTGAAAAAATGTTAAATTTTCAAATATAAAAATTGGTCAGTTACCCCTGACATTACAAGTAACTGCTTGTTTGTATTTACCAGTTTTTAACTTTGGTTGTCAAATATGTTTTTGACCATCTAACAAAACTTACATTTATTTATATTACTAGTTCTATACAACAATAACTACAGAAATTTATATCATTCATTTTACTAAGGAGAAGTAGTTTGTAGCAGCTTTCTTTGTTCAGTTTATCTTAGTCTTCACACAAAGAAAAAAAGTTTTATCATGCCAAGTACAAAACTGCATTTCAGCTAACAAATAAAAAAGTCTCAATTTCATTACTACATACCAAAATACCTAGCTTTCTTTATAAAGCATAGAATTTTCTGTACAGATGTTTAAATCTACATTCTTTTTTTCTGTGTATGTTTTTTAATTAAATATTTAAGAATAAAAATGTATGTTAAAAAAAGAAAAGAGATTTATTTACATCAAAGATAAACTGACATGAAACACCAGAGTGCAATTACTGTTGGAAATCAAACAAGAAAATCTAAATGTTTTCTTGTAACTTATCCCAGTGGCTAAAACAAAAGGGGGGGATTCTTATGAAATCCTTTGTTAATGACTTAAGTTCAAAATCAAACTTAAATAAATGTCCATTATTTTTTTTTAAATAAAACCCTAACAACAACTTCTGTATTTAAAAGAGTATTTCCAAACAGAAATGATAATATACATGTTTAAAATGTGTATATTAAGAAATTATATTTTTATATAAAAAGATACAATTTCAGCAATAAAACATTGTTGAAAAAAAACAAATTGAAACTTAAGAAGCTATTTAATAACCACAAATTTTACTCACTTTATTAACAGCATGACCAAGATGAACTTTACCATTTGCATATGGAGGGCCATCATGTAGTACGTAGTTTTCTCCTTTATTATTTTCCCGTTGCCAGTCATATAGACCAAGAAATTTTGCTTTCTACAAAAAAAGAAATCATCATAAAATTGGCATTAGCTTTATAGGTTGTTAATATGTGAAGAAAAACGACATTTTGAAAATCTTTTAAAATCATTAAGTGTAAAATATGTACAAAAATTATAAAAATTTAAACACCCAGTCTGTGAGTCAGGAAGATATGTTTAGTGGGTTGATTCTCCAATAAAACGTTTGGTACTCTTTTTAAAAAGTTTAAAATTCTGAATAAAGATTTGAATTCCTTGCACTAACTGGAATCTGAATTGCCCACCAGTGTGGCCAAATTCATACTAGTTTTCAGGCTATAATGGAGCAAAACTATGCCCAATCCAAAATCCTACACAAAATACAGTAATGGCCACAAACACATATAATATATTGTGCAAAACATGATCTGGTTCCTCAGCTCTATGAAGCCATTTTCTTCATGGTTTTACAAGTTCTTTTGAAAGGTATGACCAAGGAAAGCTCATTGAAGCTTATTTGCCACAGCAAGGTGGCTAAGTACAGTACCATATGTACATGAACACTCCTACTATTTTGTGCAAGAGGAATGCAGTATGGCCAACAATAGACATATTTGGAGCCCAACACTATTGACAAGTCAATTCTCTGGACAGTAATCTATTTTCTTTTTGTTTTTAGATTAACATATACTATGATATAGTACCCTTTATAGAAATACACTTTTATGGTCAAACCTGAATACCACATAGCAGTCATATACACACACACACACACACACACACACATAATCCTATTTTTACATACAAAAACCCTTTCAAAATAGAACTGTTTGTGTCTAGGATTCAGATAGCCTAGCACTGTTTGGCCTGTAAGATTCTTATTTATGATATTTAGAGGGATGAAATACTTTAGGGCTTGGTTCCTCATAGTAATAGTATAATAATGGCTGGAGACGGCTTGAGTGGGTAATGAAGAAAAACTTTAATATAAGTTTAACATAACAGCAAATGTACAACATTTCGACAAGGTTTGATGACAAAACCTTGTCGAAAT